CCCCAAAACCCCAAAACCCCAAAACCCCAAAACCCCTTTAGAGCAGTGATTTATTGAATAGGCATATGTCTTAGGAATAAGAAGGAATCTCTCTGATCGCCTTTTTAGATATCTGGAAAGCAGGAGATTTGTATACACCGCAATGGCACTTAATACCAGCCCAGGAGTAGCTGCCAAGCTTTACTGAGCAATTCTTTCGAGGACAGAGGATCCTACCTGTGTTGCCATCGTACTCAGTGATCCAATCTTTTTGGTTAATGAAGAGCATATTACATTTAGGAGTCTTATAGTAGCCTATTTTTGATACGGTTTTACTCCTATCAGGGTAAAAGTTCTGTGTATAAGTCTTAGAGTAGCTCTCATGAGCCTGGATATCCTTAGATGTGAACAGACCTTGCCCTCAGAACTGTCAGGAGTAGGAATATATCTTTGGAGCAACTACCTTTGTTGATGCTATCCTATGGATCTCTTTGGTTGGCTTCTTTGTTTTTATATTAAATTCCTTCTGCTTTCTCTTATTCTGGCTTTCACCAGAGGATTTTATAAGATTTTGTTTCCTTTTATCATATTGTCTGCATTCAGCTTGGAAGGTTTGTTGGTGACCTCTCTTGTTTTATGTGAGGAATATTGGTTGTAAGGAGCCTTAGCAGCTCTGAAAACTCTATGCTTACTCTCCTCCCTCTTGACTTCTTTCTTCTTCATAAGATTTTGGAAGCCAGACTTTGGTTTAGAACTGAACTATAGCTGTAAAATGCCATAATTTACCCTCTTTCGATCAAGTTTTTGATAGCTTGCTTTGTCTTGGAAACTTGAGAGGAACTTACCCTTTGGTTTATGAGGCTTCTTCTGTTCGACTGACTTCATATTCGCTATTGAGTAAGATGTAGGCCTCTTCCTGGATCCATTACGGTTATAAAAAGACTTATTTGGCCTTACAGGAGTTACTGAAGAGTCATACTCTAAATACATCCTATTTGTTAGACTTTTGCCGTACGGATAATGAAACTGCTTTGGTTTCAACTGACGTGAGATTACATCTGGTGACAAATTCACATCTCTTTTTGTGTCATACATGGAGAGTTTATGATGAGTAATACCTGGACTTTTCGAGGAGGAATCTAGAAATTTGACTTCAAGCTTATTTCCCTTAACTTTCTCATCACAAGATGCCATGTTCTTGGCTGAATATCGCTTTTGAAGTGACTTCTCGTACTCAACAAGCTGTCTCTGGAATCCATAATTTGGGAAAATGACAGGCCTTTTCTTCTTTACATAATTGAAAGCTTCAGTAAAGCCCATTTTCCTGGTAGCCATAAAGTACGCTATAACTGTAGATGCGCTTCTTGAGACACCAGCGAAGCAGTGAACTAAGACCCTGCCACCTCCAGCTACAGCTTTATTAATGAACTCGATAGCTTTGTCAAAGTACATGAGGATGTTCTGTGTAGGCAAGTCCATGATGTTCACTACTTTATACTTAAACTCCTTCCTATACAATGGTCTAATACCTGCAGCCATTGTCAAAATATGCGTGATCTTGTTCTTCCTGAGTAAATGGAGGTTGGAAACCCCATTGATGTCTCCCAAGAAGATCCTGTCTGTAATTCTGTCCATTTTTATGCCAATATTTCTATAATATTCTTCCTGAGAGGGGTTTTGGGGTTTTGGGGTTTTGGGGTTTTGGGG